TATGTCATAATAGCAACACTATGAATCCAAATGTAATGATTTCAAATAATTAGGTTGTAATGAAAGCAAAGATGTCTGAAATGTACATCTAATCCATGGAAATGTTAAATAATAACCATATTAATTACAATCAGTATTAAATTTAAAAAATAATAAGTAACAACATGCCACTTGGGTGATTCTGTGCCAATTCTGAGGGGGCCATCTTACCCTAAGGGTCTAATTTGATCTTTTTACTTCAAAATAAAAGACATAACTTTTACTTCACACACACACAAAAAAAAACATTGATGTGTCCAAAAATCCCTCGTTAACAAATAGACACAAAAAAATAAAAAAATTAATTTTCAGCCATTCAACATAATATTATGACATAGATCACTCTTTTCCAGAGACACAGAATTAGATCAATTAACCTCAAAACTATTTGGACTGACTAAATCTCACAAATGTTGATATTCAGATTAAAAATAGCATAGCCATTCATCAAAGGTGCTGAAGTGAGATTTTGTGCCATGTGGTCAAGAGAAAAAAAAACAAGGTGGGGGGGATCTTACCCCATCTTACTCTACTGTACTTCCTCCAGTTTCTTTTCTGCACGGTTTTGAAATTCAACCTTTTTTCCTAATTACAAATAAATTACACCTCACCTTCTGTTGTTTACAGGACTTGAAGGATCTCCGCAGCCAGCAGGAATGCGTTAAGTTTATCACTCAGTGGAAACAGCAGGTGGAACATGTCTCCAGGGTAATATGTAATGCTTTTTATAGCCTAAAATGTATAGATTTTTCACTCAAAAAGAGTCATTTGTTGTCACCTACTGAGCAAAAATGAAACCTGCAGAAAGAGTCACAGAAAAATCCCCACCAAAAATGAGTCATGCAGATTTGGCACAACATTTATCAAGGTTCTCTCAAAGTTATGAACGAACGTTCTTCCAATAATGTAAAAATGGTCTTTAATAATTTTCTTAAAACGTTAGCACAAAAACACGATTTATACATTGTTCATGGAGCATTTTATTTCTAAAACGTTTTGGTTGGAGAATATTCAAAAGTTCCATAAAATCAAATTATAAAATGTTCCCTTTACGATCGTAGAAAAAAAAAGAATGTTTTCGTAGAACATTCAAAAGTAATGCTTTCATTACTTAATGAGGACACTAGCAAAACATAATAGCTTTTTTTTTTTGTCAGTTGGGAATGCTTTTCATTTTTGGGTGAACTGTCATTTTAATGTTATAAAGGTTGCTTGGCAATATCTTATACACAGTAATGGTTAATCACTTTTATAGAAGCCTCATATTCATGTATCATAAAGCTACTGATAAGACAGAATTAACCCCATGTCACCCTGTCATTACGGTTGCATTGTCCTGTTGTTGAAATGCATCACGGAAGGGTGAGGTAAGTTTTCGGGTGTCATTAAATTAAATGCACACACTTTAACAGCCTTTGTGGGTCTGAAGAGTGGGAATAAGGACTGTGGGATGCTGATGCAGACAGTAATGTGTGTTTGTCTACACTTAATGTCTAAAATATCATTATAAATATTAACTGTGTGTTTGTTTTAGCCTGGCTCCAGTGCAGATGAAGGCCCAAATATCAATGTGCATGCAGAGCCGTATAGTCTGGAGCAATGCCGCAAACTCATCCTTGAGTGGGCAAAGGAGCTCAAGAAAGTTGACGATGTGAGTTCAAGGATAAAAGATACATATGTATAAACATCATGCATTATTTTCATTAAGATCATTGCTAAGATGATCTCTGTTTATATTCTCCTTTTTATAGTTGTTCAGTGAGGGCACATGGCGACAAGAAAGAGATGCATCCTTGGAGCAGAAAGAGCACAAGGTGGATTCTTCCAAGCATATGGAGCAGAAGATCATGGAATGGGCTAAAGAGCTACAGACTGCGTCGGAGGTGAGGACAGTAGGTTTGACCCCATGAGACATACTGTATGTAATAATGTGCTAAATCTATGTGCAGTATATTATGTGTGCACGTCTTTTTTTTTTTTTTTACCCGTGTACAGCGGGTAGGTGTGATGAGACAAGAATTAGCCCATTTTCTCAAGCAGCTGGAACTGAAGAAGAGGAAAATCTTGACTCTGTTGCCTTTTTTGGAGTTCATAACTTGGTCTCTACTGAAACAGGACAGCCAGGTACAAGTTGAAGATAAGAGATCAATAAACATACAGAAAAATTCTAACTAGAGTCCATAGTTTACACCCATAAACTGAGTCGACAAACATTCATAATCAAGAGATACTGCTTGTGTAAACAGTTTGAAACAGTTTACAGACAGGTACGCTCATCCCCAAGTGGGTAACGTATTTTGAAGATCCTAGAAATAGACCGAGATTTAGTTTCAGCATAATTACAAATGCAGATGTTTATATATTATATATGTTTATATATTTATTTGATATATTTTAATACAATCAGCTAAATCATTTCTACAAATTAGGGATACAATACTATCTCCTATATATTATACTATATATAATAATGTCATTCAATAATATAAGCAGTATATTTTTAGGGTGTTGTTCCACAGCTATGGCTCCTCAACAAACAACGTACCTGGAAAACAGGTGAACCTTCAATTTAAATCCTTCAGTAGACTAAACGATGATTTGGCAAATTATATTAAATTCCTTTTAGGAAAAAGTGATCATTTAAATGATTAAACGTTTTTGACAATTCAATGTGTACAATTTGTTTTGACAGAGACACCAAAGTACATTCCAAACTCAGGTACTGATTTATGTATTTATCTTGTTACCTGTTGCATCTTGTCCAGTGCACAGTTAAATGTGACAAACGTCTAAAATGTAATTACATTCATCATATCACTGCTGTAATAATGTTCATCGCTTTTTTCCATAGTGTGGAGATGGATCCGCAGTGCTTCAGGTACCAGATTCAGCCGTTTATGATTCATCTGCAAATGAAGTTCATTTTTTGCTTAAGAAAGCTTTTCGATTTTACCTCTGTACGCGTTTTGCACCTGTTTAGTGGACATCACACTGGACCCCACGACTAACCACCCATGGCTGCTGCTCTCAGATGACAAAAGGAAGGTACAGGAAGCTCTGAATGAAACTGAAGTGTCGTTCAGTACCCAGCGCTTTGACAGCTGGCCGTGTGTCCTGGGCTGGGAAGGGCTCACTTCCGGTCGGTACTATTGGGAAGTTGATATTGCCAATGATGGCTACTGGCGTATCGGAGTGACCACTGCATCCTCCAAAAGGCTCGGCCGGTGTCCCATGAACCCCTCTGAGGGTTTCTGGACAATATGGAGAAGCACACGGCAGTTTTTTGCATGTACCAAGCCGGAGACTGAGCTACCTCTGTCCCTTGTGCCCAAAAAGCTGGGCGTCTACCTGGACTATGAAGAAGGACAAGTGTCTTTCTATAAAGTAGAGACACGCTCACATATCTTTACATTCATCGCAAATTTCCGTGAAAAGTTGTACCCGCTCTTTGCACCACTGGATGGACGCACACTGATCACACTGTCCTCCACAGAAGTCAAACCAGAGGCGTCCTCTCGTGAAAATCTACAATTCTTTTAACTTGACAAATGTTTTAATAGGGGACTAATGAGGGCAGATAGTCTGCCCTTTAAGGCTTAAATATAAATACAGCTTCATATCATCTGGATCGAAGCAGATTGGAAAGGTGGATAAAATGATCACAATTGTCAGATCATTTGAATACTGTTGAGATGTTTTGGTTGTAAATTTCAACTTCAGCACAGATGCAAAATTCTGAGAATTTTCTCAAGTTCCCTCTTCATGGAAAATGATGAAATCGGACACATCCTCAGATCACTCTGGCGTTGGTGTGTACAAAGTTCTGTGAATTTGAACCACTGTACTCACAATGTACAGGTCAATTCGTCCTTGTGGAGCATGGCTAACAATTTGATGAATCGGTATTCTTTAAATCATTTTTGTGAGGTTTGCTTCTGAATGCTATTCTCCATTTCATCCAAATCAAAAGTGCCTAGGAGTACAGTGAATGATTTTTAGAAAATGTCTGTATATAAGCCAAAGAGGCAGTTGTGGCTCAGTACTGGCAGGAATTGTAAGTGGGAGGAGTGAATGAACAGAGCTCTCTTCCACCTTCAACACCCACAACTGAGATGCTCTTGAGTGAGGCACCAAACCCCCAATTGCTCCCCAGGCACTGCAACAAATGGCTGCACACTGCTCTGGGTATGTTTGCACTTGGATGGGTTAAATGCAGAGCACAAATTCCGAGTATGGGGTACCATACTTGGCCACACATCACATCACTAGCACTAAAAAACATTTGATTCTAGCCCACACGATTGTTTTTAACAATAATGTAAATCTAGTGTGGAAAGAAAGTGTTTACATTTAGTGGGTTGGATTTGGAACCATCCTTTCAGAAGCTTTGCTGCTTGGAGTGCCAACAATGAATATTTTGAGAGATTCATAAAAATACTATAAAAGGCACACTGTGATTGTCTACAAGCTCAAAACTGGTAGTTCTAACACATAACACAATGTTGTTGTTATTTTTATGGTAATGTTCACACAATGTAATTACTTTATTATGAATCTTACATGCATGCATTTTCTTACCTTCATTATTTAAAATTGTAAAAACGTTACTGTGCTTTAATGCTGGAACCAAAAAAGAAATCAAGACACAATAAATGATTTTTTTATTTTTTATTATGTATTTAAAAAACACTTTAAAAAAATTTAAAAAAACTTCCCCACCTACAAATGATTGTGTATATATGCATAAAAGATAAAGGTGTATACAGTAATAAAACAGGAAAAAAAAAACAGCATAGAACATAGATCAAGTAGGAACAGTAGAATAGTTTTCTCAAGATTAACAGGAGGGACTCAAAAATGCCCTGAGTTCTAGACAATTTCATTTGCTTATGAATATCAACGGAAATTAACATAATAAAAAGGGATTCCAAATACAAAATAGTGTTATTTTTTTTTCTTCATATTTTTATTATAGCTATTGGCTTGTAATAGTCTTCTTAAAAAAAAAAACTTGGTTACAAAACAGGTTACAAAATACTGGTATTAGTACATTTTCAACAAAGTGGGCATCCAGCAAGTCAGTGACAAATTTATAACCTTACCAGAGAGCAGAAACTACGTGTTGGGAGGTAAGTGACCTGCACTGACCTACAACAGGAAAAATCCCACACACACAGCTAAACCTCACTGCTGGACATTCATTTATCGGGTTTGCTAAATGATGGGTCAGTACTGATAAAGTACTACACACCTACAACACAACTATCCTCATTCATATAGATCTCTTCTGGATCAGCTGACTTACAAAGGTCCCAGTAGAGTGAACAAGATGAAAAATGACATACAGGACTGAGGGATCATGGGTCCACAATTCACCAAATGCTCTCTATGACAAGCTGTTTTAGTCAAACAAAGGCAAAATAAAGGCAGTCAAAAAAGGCAAAACTATTCTTTTTTTTTTTTTGTTCAGCATCCCACCATCCTAATCCGAGTCACTTTTTTCATCTTTAACCATTAGTTTTTTGCTTCTTTTGGGCTCAGGCGTTTGGCCATCCTTCTCCTTCTTGCCCTTGGTGAATCTAAAAAAAAAAAAAAAGTAATAAATGAAATGTAGTGTATATATAGGTGTCAAATGAGCTCTGTTGACAGATGCTGTAACAGTTTAGATTTTGAGAAAAAAAGACATTTGTGCAGGGTGTAGTTGTGGCATGATATCACTTACAATTTCTGCCGGTATCTGTCCATATCAGATGGAGGTACCACGTCGCTCAATTCCAAACTGTCGTTAATCTTCTTCAACATTTCATACCTTTCCTTACCCCTCACCTGCATGAAGAGAAAGCTCATCTTAAAAGTCATGCAAACACAGACTACACTTTTTTTTGTTAAAGGTCTTAGCCAACCATATTTGTAGTACACAATACCATTTAAAAAGCACAAGCTAGATTAGTACAATAACTAGGCATGGCAAGGCATGTTTATTTACAAAGCACCTGTCATACAGTGGAAATTTAAAGTGTTTTAAATAAAAAATTATTTAAAAAAAGGGGTAATCATAAAAAGGTTCATAATAAATGTAACCAAAACAACAGTGTATTAATTTGTTATTGTTGTGAGCAGTATCACTGTGCAATATTACTGGTCCTGTGCAAAACGTATGTTCTGTGCAATATTATTTATGTACAGTCAAGATTGTGCAATACAACTTATTCATTTGACTTTTTTCCCCCTCTTTTTCTCTTGCACTTTTTTTTGAGAATGTTTACTGCTCCTTACTTTTCTACAAAAGCTGACTCTGAGAAATGCACAAGAATTCCAATGTACTTGTACTGTAATGTACTTGTGCAAATTGCAATAAACTTCAAATTCAAATTCAAAAGGTGTTAAATTTTTTTTTTAAACTAAATCAATTAAAAATAAATAAAGGTATACATTAAAAAGAATATGAGAGACATAAAAGGACAAGAAGCTGCAGAAGATTTGTTTTATTTTTTATAGGAATCATAGTGAGTGCCTTTTCAACAAAGCTTAATTTACTACCTACTATCATTATGTGGCTAGGGATATGCCGGTATCAAATTTTCATGTTGCGATTAATTGCTAATGCTTTTATCACGGTATGCGGTATTATCCCTTGTTTACATCAGAGTGCACACATGTCTTTCAGGCAGCATACAACAGTGTTGTGCATTTTGACCAGTTGATGGGAAAAGTATTCTTAAAATGCATTCAAAATTCGGAATAATTTGTAATATATAATTATTCACGGTATTTAGAAGTCCCCACGATATGAATATCGTGCATATTCATTACCGTGATATATCGCATTACTGAATACCGGCACAAGTCTATATGTGGCACAACCATTTAGCAGTTAATTTCGTTTTTTTTTTTATTAGTTAATTTGTCCCTCAAAACCCATTACGATTTCCATGAAAATCACAGGAGGATGATAAAAAGAAAAGAGACAGGAAGGTGCATGATCACCTGCAGGGTATAGATCTCCTCATCACTGCTCGCGCTCAGTTTGGCCTTCCTCCTGCCCTCAGGTCGAGGTGTGGATGAAGATGATTCTTTAGTCATGCCTGTCAGATCAGATTCACATTACTGTAACATTCTGAAGAAATTAATTTGATTAATTTTGAGCAGTGTATGTGCAGTCTAATTGAATTTTTCATACACGCACGCAAAACTTACTGCGTTTGGTGGTAGAAGGGGTCTTGCCCAAGGTTTTGGTCTCCTGGTCTTTCCTGAAGTTGCTCTCCTCAGTTTTCCGGTCTCTGCCTGGGCACGCACACACACGCACCTCGAAAGACCTGCGGCCCAGCAACTGACCTCTGCAAGACAAGAGTAAAAGCTGTTTTGATGATCCTTGGTATCCACATTAGGGATGGGTCACGATTTTCGAATATTCAATTAGTTGATTTAATTATAGAATATCGAATAGGTTGTGAGATTATTGTCTTAAAAAATCTCCCCATGTTTTCCGTGTTGATGCGGTGGTGACGCGTTCATGTAAGCAGAGGGTGGTGCTACCAATAACACAACTAAAAGCTGTCAAAAGACAACAGAAGAACACAGTATTGTCTCACGCGCACACTGTAGACTTGCATGGCATAAAAAAAGACTTGCGTAGCATATAACGGTTACAGTAACTTGGGACGATGTCAAATAAGAGTTCTGTGCAGACCACACAAACACCCCTGACTAGGTTAGAGATGTGGCTGAATCCGTATTCAGAAAGGCGCGGAAAACAAATAACGCATTCTACAGAGCCACTAAAGGTACCTGGTTAGCCGCTTGCTAACGGTAGCATGTTACATCACAGTACATAACATTTCACTTACCACATATACAGAGTAAGGAGAGATGACTGATAGGATGATGGCGAATGATTTGCAGATCCTGAGCACCACTGACAAACATCTAATCTTGTAAAATGTGTGGTAAGTACTGCCGAGTGCTGTTCCGTATGTGATCGCGAATCTCGAAAGTGAACGTAAAAAACAGGTGCGCGTTCAAATGTGGTTTAAATGCCCGCATATTAATAACAGCTCCCTGATGCCCGCAATTTATATACAGTGTAATTACCCAACGATATAATTGCGACAGATGATACTGAAGTATATTTTTCCTCCCATCTCGTATCTATTCCCTTTAGGGGTTCCATTTTTTTTAATGGAAATTTCCTAGCCTTATGAGCAGTTGATTTATGCTCATCGATGGACTGTTATGTTAATAAGTGCTGTCATTTGGTTGCTTTTATTATATTAATATGTTTCAGCACGTTACAATCATTATATGGCTTGAGTTAAGGTAGCCTAT